CTGGAAACCTAAGTTTCATGCCTCGCTGCATTTACCGATGCAGCTGCTAAAAAAAAAAACAGTGCTTCTCTCCACGTTTTTGATGGAGAGGAAACACAGAGTGCTGAAACGGTTCGCGCAGCCGCACCACAACACGACAGCGTATGACAGAGCCTTGTCCGAAGAGGTGGTTGTCCAGCACCTGTTCGACTTACGGGTTCCATTTGTTTCACCTGGCCTGCTGGGGCCGAGGCAGCCGTCGAGGAAACTGATGGCTGCCATCAAAGCCACCCTGAATGTGGATGAAATGCGGGACGCAATTCTCGTTTCTCGGTGTGCACAGGTGAATTGCAGAGTCGTTGAAGTCGGGGACGTCGTAGCCTGTAGGGCAGGCGACGGCTCAATCTATTTCGGTCAAGTGTATTGCCATGTGCAGCTGAACCGAGCATGTTTTTCTTGCGTTTCACTCTGGACTGAGCTTGCTGCGTGTGATGTCTCCTCGAAGTGCAGGGCTGCGGATCGACCGCAGTTCATTGCAATGGCTGATATCATCGAGCCGTGCATCTATTGGCCAGTTTTGCCAGGCTGCGTCACGCACGTAGTGTTTCCAGCGAGGCTGAAGGTCAGGGCAGACCGCCTCGCGTGAGCAGGGGGGAGGGCAGGGTACGAGGATGCAGCGTGTCTGGGGGAGGGGGTGAGGTCCGAATAAAACAGTAGTTAGGCAGGACGGGGAGCGAGCCGTGGTGTTTCCACCCGAGCTTTAAACGTTTGGCGTCGAATACTGGGGTTGTACTTGCCAAGCAATGCGAACAGCATCAGGTCCTCCCACCACCCCCTCCTCCTCCTCCTCCTCCTCCACCTCCTCCCCTTCGCCATCCTCCTCCCTCCCCTCCCCCCTCATCCAAATACTCATCCAAATCCTCCTCCGCCTCATCACCAACGTCCCCCTTCTCCTCCTCCTCCTCCTCCTCCTCCTCCTCCTCCTCCTCCTCCTCCCCCTCCCCACCCCTCCTCCTCCTCCTCCTCCTCCTCCTCCTCCTTCTCCTCCTCTTCCTGTTCCACCATCTCCCCTCCCCCCCGCTCGTCATCTTCCTCCTCCTCCTCGTCTTTTTCCTTCTCCTCGCCCTCCCCCTCCACATCCCATTCGCACCCGCACCCCCGTTCCCCTCCCCCTCCCCCCTTCGCCCCCTCCTGCTGATCCCCCTCATCGTCCTGCTCGCAGTGACCATGCTGGTGCTGCCCGTCTGTTTGCCGCCGTTGACTTTGCTGCTTGCCATCCCTACTTATCTTCCTCGCTCCTGCTCCTCCCCCCCACCCCTCCCTTCCCCATGGGGGGCTCCGACGGCGCCGAGCGCAGAATGACTTTCTGCCGCAGCCCCAACCCCCAGCTAGAGACGAAGTTGCTTGCACTACTGCGCTTGCATCGCCGCGGATTGCATTCACTGGCGGTCGCGCGGGCGCGAGGGCGCCCGACGGTCTCCAAACATGGCGAGGTAAACCATCAGAAACAAAAAAACACAAAAAACATCAGGAACACAATCACAACATCAGGAACACATCGAAAGCAAACACTTCGGAGGTCGACGCGGCGGCGACGAGGTCGCGGCTGCCTCCGAGCGCGCATTTGTTTTTGCACTGCCACCAACAAAATGGCAGAGAGCCCCGTCGCACCCGAAACTGCGGGTCGCCACGGCAGACCAGCTGAGCACTGAACATAAACAAGGGCACACGTACATAGGCACGATTTCCGAGGCCGCATCACTGACACTAAGTTGACAACAACACATACACAATACTATACCATGTCATATTATATCATATCATAACATAACATATCATAGTATATCATACCGTACCAGCTCAGATCATTTCATATATTTATGTATGTATGTATGTATATACATATATATATACACATATACATATAAATACATATATATATAAATACGTATGTGTATATATACATCACCATTACCATTCCATCCCTCGCCCCTCCTCCACCTCTCTCTCTCTCTCCCTCTCTCCCTGCCCCCCTCTCTCTCTTGCACTCTCCCTCTTTCTCTCCCTCTCCCTCTCCCTCTCTCGCTCTCTCCCTCTCTCTTTCCCCCCTCTTTTTCTGTCAGCGAACCAGGACAGAAACTAGTTGCAACGTGGTTCGCCAGCCGCGCTAAACAGGTTAAGTCAGATGGCTAACTTAGTGCTAAATGCGCTAAATACAGATAGCTATATCCGTTAAGTGCAGATAGCTAACCATGGTTAACTTGGATAGCAAACCTGGTTCCAAACACCCCAAACACATTATAAGCACCCCAACTAGTTCACAAACACCGCGGTGATCCCAGTGGAGCGCTCCTGGAGCGCTCTGGGGGAGTCTCCCGGAGATCGCTCGGGTGTCGGTCGGGGATCGCCCGGGGTACTTTTCGTCCGGGGACCCCCAGGGGCCGCCCCGCGCGCGCGAACTAGAGATACTGTTAACCAGTTACCGGAGACCTTAGCACGCCTCTGGCCCGTTGGGCTGGCGAATTTCCCCAGATCTCATGGCGCCCCTTTTTATTTCATTACGTCCCTGGCCCCCCCGCTGGGCCGCGCACATGCCGCCGGTCATGATTTGCACCCCTCCTGCTTGGACACCCCCCTCTTGGCCGCTCCCGAAGGAGGTGCTCTGCCATTTCCCCGTCCTTCCCTGCAGTCATGGGCTCAGTAGGTCGGCGACGAGTGAGGGGGGGGCAATGAGAAGGAGAAGTCCTTTTTCAGAAAGCGGCGGGAATTCCAACCTTTCCACCAGAGAGGTTGATTGCGTCTCCGGGGAGGGCTTAGGAAACTGTTCAGGAGGCCTGGGGGGTTCAGAGCCTTCCGAGAAAACCCTCCCCTTCTAAGTTGCCCCCTGGGCCCGCCGCCGAGCAAGGCTCCCGTGCGTTTTTCCCCATGCTATGTTGGTTTGGGGGGCCTTCCTGAATCCCACCTCACGGATCTCTTCGATTCTAGTGAAGACCTACGCTCTGGCTCGGCTCAAGTCCATTTCATGTTCGACCCAAGTCGACGGACGCTTGACGCATCACCGACGCACGAGTGGAGCGAGCGAGTGTTTCCACGAAGGTCCCCAGAACGAGCATTGGATCCTGCCTGCCCGTCCTTCAACGCTGCGCGGTCAGCAGGCCAGGTGCCTCTCTCGTCTGACGAGGCGCAGGCGGGATATGCACCCCCCCCCGCCCCCCCGCAAAGTCATTCACGACAGAGTGCGAGGCAGCATGCGCACCGGCTGCCTTCGCGGGAGCGCGAGGACGGCGGGAGCCACGACGGGGAGCCCACGGCAGTGGGCCAGAGAAGCGGCCGGCAGCGCGTGCACGTGCAGCACCTCCCGCCCGCGCCTCCCCCGCCCCCTTCCTCCATCTCCTCCTGTCCCCGTTGCAGGCGGCAGGCCGACGGGTGTGGAGTCGGGCGACTCATGGCGCACAGCCGCCCGGGGCCGGAGCTGGGGTCCTGCGCTGACTCTGAAGAGCTGTGCCCCAGACCCAGGGGCCGGGGCTGGAGCTTGACTCGGGGCCTGGAGCTGCGCTTGGAGCTGGAGCTCGGGGTGCGTCTGGAGCTGGAGCTGGTGCCGCAGCGAAGCTCTAAGTCGGGCCTGTCCCTCTCGAAAACTGTCACAGAATAGTCTGTTGACACTTGTTCGATTATTGTTCGGCCTTTTTCATATTTCTTTACTATTTGTTATTGTGAAGGCCTGACGGAGGTGCCGCCGACCCTGAAAGACATCGACGGCGACCAGGAGGGGGAGGAGGAGGAGGAGGAGGAGGAGGAGATAAGGAGGAGAGAGGAGGAGGAGGAAAAGTACTCCCCCCTGGGACCCCCTCCCCCTGGGGACGAGGACCGGAGGAGGACTGGCGTGGGAGAGGGGAGGGGAGGGGGAGGAGGACCCCCAGAGACGGATGCGTACAGTATCTCACTCCCCTCCCCCACCTTGGATTCCTTCCCACCTAGGGAGGAGGACCTGAAGAGGACCGGCGCGCCGGAGAAGGACTGGCGTGGGAGAGGAGGACCCCCAGAGGCGATGCGAATCTGACCCCCCCCACCTCGGGACCCCCCCCCGCCGGGGAAAGGACGAAGGGAGGGGTTTCCCTTTGACGTGACGACGACGTGGGTCGATATCCCGCAATCGCCGGACTCCTTCCCCCGACGACGGGAGAGAGCTCTCTTCCTCCCGACGGGGAAGGATAAAGGCGTCCCGTCGACGGGACCAGACAGACCCTTCACGCACGCCGACAGGGTCGGCAGATTTTTCATCCCAAATCCGCCTGCAGGGGGACGCGCCCGATTTAAACGAAGTTGGAGATGGCGCTGTGGCTGGAACTGGCGCTGTAGCTCCAGCTGGAACTGGGGTTCCAGCTGGAGCGGGAGCCGGGCAGGAGTTTGGCTGCAGATGGGCCGGAGCTGGAGCTGGAGCTGGAGATCGCCTGGAGCTGTATCATACTGTATCCAGAGCTGGGCTCGACGTGGGGCTGGGGCTGGAGTGGGCTGGCGTTAGAACTGGGGTCGGTGCCGGGGCTTAGGGTGTGAAGCTGGGGCTGGAGCATCGCTTGAACTAGAGCCGGGGCTGAAGCGACGTTGCAACGAGGCTGGAGCGGGTGCGGGCCTGAAGCTGGAGCTCGGCTGCATCTAGAGTTGGGGCATGATATCATGAAGAACAATACGCGCTGGAAGGTTGGTTCTGGGCGCTCAAAGTCAGGACGTGGAGCAGGGTTTTGCCAACATGTAGAGCACCACGCGCTAGAGGGTTGGCTTTGGACGCTCGGCAGCCAGCTCATGAGTAGATTTCGGGTAACACGACAAAACACCAAACGCTCGAGGGTTCGCTCCAGATCCCGGGAATGTGTTTTATTTGCAGGCTGGGGTCTTGTACTCCTTCTGTCCCGACTCTCTCTCTCTCTCTCTCTCTTTCTACCTCTCTTTCTCCTGATGGCCTTCCCTTGCCATGCCCGTGCATCCCCTTGTCCAACGGCTAGCCCCCGCACCACCCAGCAGACAGGAGGCGTGGCAGGACGCGGGCGGCCTCAAGCAGCACCACGTACTCGTGTCGACGGCCGAGATGGCCCGCAAGGCGATGGTGGACCACGCGTTCCTGTGCGAGGCGAATTGCAGCCTAATCCTGTTCGACGAGGCGCACCACGCGGTGCGGGGCCACCCGTTCGTCCAGATTGTGGCCAGCCTCGGCCCCAGTGCGGACGTCCGCATCGTCGGCCTCACCGCGTCCTTCCTCCACGGCAAGCTGTGCGACCCGCAGCGCAAGCGTGCGCTGCTGGAGCTGAACCTGCGTAGCAGGCTCTGGGTCCCCAAGGAGGAGGATCGGTTACGCGTAAGAGTGACCTTTCGCCAGAGTGACCTGTGGTGCGGGCCCACCGGTTTCCCTGGATCGCCGAGCGCGGTGCGATAGCAGCGTCTTGCGCACCTGTGTTTGGTCCCCCACGCCGCCCCGAAGAAGCCGCGCACCAAAGGTCACCCTTACCCAGGGTCACCTCTGCGTGTAGCCGAGAGGAGATGCAGGGGTACAGCCTGGACCAGCACTTCGAGCGGGTGCCCTACGAGGAGTCGGACATCGATGCCGCCTGGGCCGTGGAGCGGACCGAGCAGATCCTGGCGGCGGCGCTGGAGGGCGCCCCCGACGAGGCGCGGAGCGCGCTGGAGGGCAACGCCAAGAAAGCCGGCGACGTGCTCGTGCTCCTGGGGCAGCTGGGGTGGTCCTACTTCGTCGCACAGGTCCCAGAGAAAACACGCGGGGCGTTCCAGAAAGGCTTGGCCTTCGGCTCATCTCGCTTTGGGCGGAATGCGGCGGGATTAAAACGGCGGCGGCTGCGCTGGCGGAAGCTCGGCGGATGGCGGTGGAAGCAACAAGAATCCTTCCAAGAGATGTTTACTCTTGGGGGATCCGGGATTTCTGCATCGGGCCGCACAGCTACGGGTCCCAATCCCTCTCGGGTTTGACGACCTCCCTGAGACGGGGATACCATGCACACATTTCGTTTGGAGGGCACGGAAGCTTCGTGCAGCATGTCCGTCCCCTGGGAGATTCTCAGCGCACGGGGGGATAACTTCTGTGTCCGAGTGTATTTCTGGGAAGAGGCGCTGTGCCCAATGGCGCGTGCAAAGATGGAGGCGAAGGCCAGGAACATTGACAACACCAAGACCAAAGAGCAGCTCCAGGAAGCCATGCAGCACCTGAGTGATCTGCAGCAGCGCCTGCTCTCAGCATGCTCGGGCGGCGCGAGCGCCGCGGAGGAAGGGGTGGAAGGGGAGTGTGACGAGGAGGCCAACGCACCGGCGCCGCGCTACTCCGGCAAAGTGGAGGCGTTGCTCAGCCTTCTGAAGTACCTGAGCGAGGAGGCCGATGACTCGGAGCAGCCGCTTCGTTGCATGATCTTCTGTGAGCGCGTGGCGACTACCTACCCGCTGTCTTACCTGATCAACGACTTCTTAGGGAAGCAAGTGAGCTTGCCCGTAAGTGGTGTCAGTGCCATGACGGAAAGCGTCCGGAATGCCAATCTGGAGGCCTTCAATGTCGGGCGAGTTGGGATGTTGGTTGCCACAAGTAGCCTCGAGGAAGGTATCGACATTCAGAAGTGCAACGTGGTTATTCGCTTTGACATCTTCCACAACGTGAAGTCGCACGTGCAAGGTGCAGGCCGGGCCAGAGACAAGAACGCGCGCATATACTATTCGAGACGCCTCCGGCGGCGGGCCTCGCTTTCTCGAGTGCATTCCTTCCTCTTATTCCTCCCTCCTCATCCTCCTTGCCGTTTCCTCTACCCTGATCCTCCTTCTCTTTGTTCTTTTGTTTTGTCTCCTTCTCTTCCTCCCTTCTCCTTCTTCCAGCGCAGGGAATAGCTTGAGCAGATTGTCCAAGACGGCGCCGGCACTTCTTTGAAAGCGGCCCCAGCAAGTCGCAGAGACCCCCCAAGGCGTTCTTGGTCGCGCTAGCGTGGCCACATGTTGAGCGGCTCGGTCGCGTTCATTTCTAGACTCGGTCACGCTACTGACTCTGTGTTCCCCCAGCCGTCGTGGAAGCAACTGGCCCCGATACCGAAATAGGGCGGTGGACTTCCGGGGCGGATTAGCAGTAGGAGGGGGAGGCGGTGAACACGATAAGGAGGAGCACAAGGAGGAACAGGAGGATGAGAATGTCGGGCCGAACGAAAGGGGGGGATAGGGAAAGGAGGGGTTGCGAAATCTGCTGCATGCAGCTGGTTCCAGCCCATTCCTCGATACATGGGCGCCTGCCGGCGCCGGGAGGCGCTGGGAAAATTAGCTACGTGAGCTGATTCTCTACCCTGCCCTTTGCTATCCCCCCCTTTCGTTCCCCCCGAGAGTGCTGGTGAGGTCGAGCTGGACTCGGGAAGGTCAGGGAAGGCGCAGAGGCACCACACACTTCCGCCCCAGGGTGCGGAGTAGGCGAGGCTTGGAACAAGTTGTGATCGCGCTGGTGCGCTGCCCTTCGATGACGATGATGGCGATGACGATGACGATGGCGATGACGTTAAGTCGGGCCTGCCCCTCTACAGGAGGAATATTCAAAGTATACAAATAGTCTGGGGACTATTTTACTAGTATGTTTGATTATGTGTTGAGTATGTTTGATAATTTTTCGTCCGGATCCGCCAGTAGGAGGACATGCCCGACCTAACGATGACGATGGCGATGGCGATGATCGTCATCGCCATCGTCACCGTCACCGTCATCGTCATCGTCATCATTATCGTCACCGTCATCGTCATCGTGATCTCCGAAGAAGTTTGTATCGCGAAGCTGTGAGTCGCCATCTGCGCTCAGGCGTCCCCGGGAAGCTCGCGTCGCCTCGCCTCGCCTCGCCTCGCCCCCGGAGATGTCTGCGGGCCGCACTGGGCGGTGAACCTGTGGCAATTCGGGGTGGCCGCACGGCGATGGGCCGCGGGTCGTGCTCCGAGGACGTCTCGGGCGGCGGGGGCCTCCAGGAGGAGAGGGGCCGAGGGTCAGGGGGCGCCTTCCTCTGCAGGACCACCACGGCAGGGGCGTCGAGGTGGTCAAACGCCTCGCGGGTGAAGCCGACGAAGATGTGCAAAGTCCAACCATTCGCTCATGTCGAAAGTGTCGGCTTGACGCCAGGTGTGGTGCATCAATCGCAGCTTCACCGAACAGCTTTGATGCGCCCCTTGGCGTCCGTGCGGGGTGTTCTGCAGACCTTTCCCCCCATGCGGGCAATGTCTACATCCACATCCAGTGCGTCTTGGAGTTTCGGGCCCTCTTCCCCAGAGAGATGAGGCGCACCGGGTATGGATTCACATCTGGCCCCAAAGGCTCGATTTTTGTCCATATCCAGAGCGCCTCGGCCTTGCGGCGCCCCTTCCAAGAAGGTCCAAGACGCACTGCATGTGGATAGAAGTTGCCCGCACCCCAGCTCTGGACGCCCGAAATGGGTACGGAAACAATGGGTACGATGCCCAACAGCAGTTCCTGTTCATCTTGAACAGGACTCGCTGTCCGCGCCGCCGCGGCCTGTGTCCATTTGAGACAGAGGGCCGCCTGCCCAACAGCGGCCGCTGTTGGTTCGGGACAACATTTGTCGTTGGGCATTGTACCCATTCTTTCCGTACCCATTTCGGGCGTCCAAACCAGCCCTGCTCGAGGCCTCCAGGGTCCCCCCAAAACGGTGCGGCGACGGACCGTGCGGTGAGGTCTCTCTGCATTCCGGGGCCGCCGCACGGCCCGTCGCCGCACCGGCTCGGGGCGGCCCCCCCAGAGACGCGCGCCGCCTCGCAGACGCCGCCGCTCCGCAGGGGGCCAGCGGATTTCGACAACGACCCCGATGATGCCATCAGGTCTGCCACAACAGTATTATATATACACACAGACACCCTCGAGTGGAGTGTTCCTGGGCCTCAGGGGAGGGTGGCTGTGCACGAATCACCACCGAGAGCCGACGACTTTCTACACCGCCGCCCTCCCTGAAGGCACACGCAGAGTTCGTCGGAGGGTGCCTGTGCGTATGTTTGCTGTCGTCAGGGACGCGGAGCTGATGCAGGAGGTCGCGAGGGACCCCGCCTGCCCCTCCCTGGACCCGCCCGTGGCCGCTCACCACGCGGGAGCGCAGGACCAGTCGACGGGCTAACGGCGATGTGGGCAACGGCGATGCAGGTTTCGGTAGCTCCTACAGCCCCCCGCCCGAACCCGAAAGTCGGGCGAATTTCGGGTCCTTCGGGTTAGGCTGGGGTGGTTTGGTAGGTAGTCACCACTGGGTACACGTGTCGCTCCTCCCTCGGCTATTCGCCACCGTCGTTACCCTCCCCTCCCCTCCCCTCCCCTCCCCTCCCCTCCCTCCCCTCCCTCCCCTCCTCCTCCTCCGCCTCCTCCTCCTCCTCCGCCTCCTCCCTCCTCCTTCTCTCTCCCTCCTCCCTCCCTCCCTCCCTCTCTCCCCCCTCTCCCCCTCTCCTCCTCCTCCTCCTCCTCCTCCTCCTCCTCCTCCTCCTCCTCCTCCTCCTCCCTCCTCCTCCGCCTCCTCTCCCTCCTCCTCCTCCTCCTCTCTCCTCCTCCTCCTCCTCCCTCTCCCTCCTCCTCCTCCCTCCTCCTCCTCTCCTCCTCCCTCCTCCTCTCCTCCTCCTCCTCCTCCTCCTCCTCCTCCTCCCTCCTCCTCCTCCTCCTCCTCCTCCTCCTCCTACCTACTATCTACTACTACTACTACTACTACTACACTACTACTACTACTACTACTACTACTACTCCTCCGCCTCCTCCTCCTCCTCCTCCGCCTCCTCTCCTCCTCCTCCTCCCTCCCCTCTCCCTCCCCCCCCTCCCCTCCCCTCCCCTCCCCTCCCCTCCCTCCTCCCTCCCCTCCTCCCTCCTCCCTCCTCCTCCTCCTCCTCCTCCTCCTCCTCCTCCTCCTCCTCCTCCTCCTCCTCGGCCGCCCGCGGTCTTGGCGGACCCGGCGGCTCTACGGGGGCCACCCGCAGCTCACGATCCAGCTCCACCACGCCACCTTGGGCCAGCTTCCTGTTGAAGCCGGCCCAAGGGAACAGACTCGAGCAGCGCCTGGGAGAGACCCTAAACAGCGGGAGGAGAGGCGGGACGGGGCAGAAGAGGGGAGGCGGGAGACACAGCTTCGTTGTTCGGGGTGCGGGGCGCGCGCGCCAACTCTTGCCACGGAGGAGGGAGGAGGGGGAAGGGGAAGGGAGCCAGGAGGGACCGGGAGACGGAGGAGGCGGGAGCGCGGCCGTGTGGTGTGAGCCACCTGAGCCACCTGCCTGAGGCAAGGAGCGGGGGAGGGGAGACGGAGGAAAGGGGAAGGAGAGGAGGAGGAAAGCGCGCGGCTACCCGAGACCAGCGAAGACCAAGAGGGGACGAGGGGAAGGGGAGGACAGAAGAGGGGGAGGGCGCCCAGGAACGGGCCCGCTCAGCGGAGGCCGGCGGCCTTCCGGCGCTGGAGCGCCAGCTGCGTCTGGACGACACAGCTGACGACCTTGTATGCGCGGATCAGCTCCGCGCTTTGGCGGTCGTCCGTGCACTGCTCTTTCACCTGACGCACGAGCCACTGCCTGGCCTCACCGCCCAGACGCCCTGGAGACTCGACCACAAAGGGCGTGAGTCGATCCCCAGGGTATCTGGCGTGCTTCTCCCGCTCCGCCACGCGGGCCGCCTCCCCGGGACGGCGGGCTGCCCTGCCCACGACCTGCTCGGCCGTCGGATGGCGGACGGAGACGTCCACCCAGTGCCGCCCAGCGCCTTTGTGGTACTCGATGTCGAGTATGGCGCGCTCCAGCAAGTCCGCGCCCGGCGGGTCGGCGGCCTGCGGAGGGCGCAGGCGATCCCACGTGGGGACCCGCTGCTCCAGCAGAGGCTCGTGGTGGAGCCAGCGGCGGATCAGCCCGGCAACTGAGTCCTCCAGCCGACCGTGGCGTTGGACCACACCCCGCCAAGTTCGCAAACGGTGGAGTGCCCGGCCCTGTCGTCCAGCGGGGCGCCGCAGGCAGCCGCGCCGGGGCCGGCGCCCCTGGCTCGGTTCTGGCAAGTGGCGGAGGCTGTGGCCGGCTCAGCCTGGGAGCACTCTGGCCGGCGCACCAGCGCCCGCGCGCGCAGCCCCGTCGACCAGAGCTTGTCCTCCATGGTGCACGCCGGGTCGCTGGGGTACAGCAGGAAGGCTGCCGCCCCTGGGCCTCCAGCCCCCAGCAGCAAAGCTCTTTCGTGCTCGGGCAAGCGCTGCCTCAGGGCAGCGTGCTTCTTCTTTTGCGCGAGTCTCACGAGTTTGCTCTGCTTGATGGGAGTTTGGAGGGCTGCCAGAAGTGCGGCCCCTGGTGCTGGGTCGGCTCCGAGGGACCGGAGCTCTGCGCGCGCCTGCGTCAGCGCCTGCTCTAAGCTCGGCAGCGCTTCGAGCAGCTCGTCCGCCGAGGCTCCGATGTCGGCAGCCACCCACTCTGCTGCGAAGGCCCAGCCTGCCCAGAAGGCAGCCGCCCGGCGTTCCGCCGCCCACTGGATACCCGCTCCGCCCTCCTTCCGCGAGAGGCCCAGGACCTCCTTGCTGAGCGGCTCGAAGCTCCTGCCGGCCAGCTGCTCCCAGCAGTGCAGCAGTTGGGCGTCGTAGCGCAGCGTCTCCTGGTTGTCAACGAAGGAGGCCCGCAGAGCGTGCTGGCTGGCCGCGCCCGCGTAGGTGCCGAGCAGGCTGCCCGCCGCCTGCCGCCGCAGGCCGTGCTTCGTGAGCGGCCAGAGAGCCTGCCAGAGGGAGCCCAGCCTGTCCGTCGCCGCGTCGAGGCTGCCGTCCTGCCTGCCCAGCAGGAGAGGGGCGTCCGCCAGGTCTCCGCTTGCCTTCAAGTGCGCGCCCAGGACCGGGAGCGTCGCCACCCAGTGTCGCTGCAGCTCGGGCGGGAGCACAGCCGCCGCGGCCTGCGTCCACACCTGTGTCTTCCGCTGGTTTAGTTCCAGGCCGTACGGCGCCAGGGCCTGCTCGAGGAGCTGGAGCGCCTGAGCGGCCAGAGCCACCGGGACCACGATGTACGTGTCGTCAAGGTAGGAGTACATCCGGGTGTCCGTGTCAAGGGCGGTGAGCCGCTCGAGGAGGGGCTGCAAGGCCTTGCGCTGGCCGACTGAGAAGGCGGCCGGCGCCAGCGGGTCGCCCTGGTCGAAGCCGCGGGTGCTTTCGACCAGCTTGAAATTGCCGGCTGCATCGCGCCAGAGGTGAGTGGCGCTGCCCCTGTACCACGTGTCGAACACACGGGCCACGTCGGGCACATGCTCTGCCATGGCCTCAATGGCCGGACCCCGCTCCATTCTCTGGAAGGCAGCTTTGACGTCCACCTTAATGAACGCCACGCCTGGGGAGAGCGCCGCCTGCGCCTGCAGCTGCTTCAGGACCAGGTCTGTGCCGCTGCTCCTGCCGACCCCATACTGGTGTGGCCCGGCTGCCTGGTGGAGCTTCGGTTTCTTCACCCTTGCCAGGGCCCTCATCCCCAGCCGCCTGAGGGTGGCGCCCACCAGGAGGGATCGGACCTCGCCCGCGCCCTTGTCCACAGCGACGACTTCCCCGACCCGGAGGGCCTGCAGCACCGCTTGCGGCACGTCTCCGAAGGTCAGCTTGGCGACTGCCCACGCCATTGTCTCCAGGACGTCAGGGTCGTCTGTGCACGTGGCCAAATGCTCGAGGCGCGCTCCCAGCAGGCCGGGGGCCGTGAGGCGAGGGGGCCGCCGCAGGAGCTTGCCGACCTCCTCTTGGACTGCCAGGCGCACGTCCACGTTCGGAGCAGCCCCGGCCAGAGGCCGCGCCTCCGCGGCTGCTGCACTGGCTCCTCTCGGGAAGTTATTCCTGAGTTGGGCGAGGGTTTCCTGCGAGCGTGGGGCTACGGGTACGCCGCGCACGGCCCCGAGCGCTCGGCCCTCCTCGCCGGCGGACGCCAAGGTGTGGACTCTGCGGGCCTTCCGCTCGTCGGTGTCTTGACCAGCCGCCCTTGGCGGAGGGGTGCCGCGGCCAGCCGCGTCACCCCACAGGGCCGCCCACTGCCCGCCCCAGAACCAAGCGAGACGCTCCTCCAGGGTCTCTGCGCACGTCGCCCCGCCGCCTGGGCGCGCCAGCAGCAGGCCGTCGAAGAGGAGAAGAGCTTTCCACTCGTTCTCGGCGTCGCCACGCCCGTCGGCCGCTACCAGGGCCCTCAAAACAGCTGCCCGGGCCGTGACGTAGGCGCCTCGGAAGCGATCTGGGACCTGAGCGAATGTGGGGGTGCCCACCCGGACTGCCGCTGACCACGACAGGTTCTCCCACCAGCTCCTGTTCGGGAGATCCCCGCACTCCCACGCAGGGTGCATGGGTGCCGAAGCGGGGTCGGCGGTCGCCGACGATTGCGGCTGCTGGTCAACTCTGGCAGCGACTGCGCGGGCGAGGGCGGCGGATACAGCTTGGACGTGCTCATCTGTCGCGTCGCCGCCTGGCCTCTGGGCACACGTGTCCCCGGGCACGGCCTGGGCGGAAGTGCACGCCACGCATCTCCACCTGCCCCGGTTCCGACTCCCCCATGTGGCTACCTTGATCTCGTTCGTCTCGAACGGGATCCCGCAACCAGTGCACGTCGCCGGGCGGGGTGTGCTCTTCTGGATGTCCACCGCCCACTGCTGTTCCCTCCGCCGCCGGCGGCTGGGCGGAGCCCCAGGGTCGGCATCGACCTCCATCGCCGGGGCGGCGTCGTGCGGCGCCTGCGGTCCCCCAGCGGCCGGGGCGTCCCGCATCCGCGTGTCACCCTCCGTCTCGCCCTGCTGCAAAGGGGCCCCGCCGCCCGCTGGCCCGCTTGGGGGGCCCTCGCCGGGGTAGCCGAGCGTGGAGTCGAAGCTCTTGGCGCTCCAGCCGGCGGCCCACGCGGCCGGGGCGACTGGGGAAGCGATCACGGCTGGGGGGGCGCTGGAGGCATTGCACAGGGCCCCCGCGGCGGCCCCAATAGAGGCGGCAGCGGCCAACGCGATCCCGAGGTGTGCGAGCGCCAGTAGGCGCAGATGCGGGTCCTGTCGAGTGAGCTGGCCCAGCGGCTGGCCAGGCTGCCGCTCCCGTAGATGCTGGTGGTCACGAGGGCGACGAGGCCAACGAGCCGGAGGACCACGAAGGCGAGCGCCCAGAGGATGTCGCCCACAACGAACGCGAAGCCCGCCCCCGTGTCTTGGCGCCCCCCGTCCCCGGCGTCCTCCTTCCAGACCTTTGCGAGGAACCCCACGATGATGGCGAAGAAGGCCCCGCCGCTGCGGCGGACGTGCCAGAAGAGGCGGAGGGCTTTGGCGGCACATCCAGAGCGCCGCGCCTCGCCCCGGCGGCCGCGTGCGCCCAGTCCCCGCCCGCCTCTTTGGGGGCGCAGTGAGGCAGAAGCTGCCCCTCCTGGACGGGGCCCGCGGCCGGGCGGCAGGGCCGCGAGCAAGCCCCCAGTCCGGTGCCCCCTGGGACGAGCATGCGGTTGGGGTGGCGCAGAGGAGCGGCTCCCGATGCCCCACATCGACTGACAAGCGAACAAGCAAGAATAATCAAAACATGTAATCGCATGTGAACTTACTTACCTCTCTCTGAAGCAAGGATTGGTATGGTGGGGCGGAAAGTACGGTCTGCGGATGCCGACGTCGACGGGGCGACAGACGGCAGACACTTGAGCCAGCAGCCCTGCGTGCCCAGACCCGCACGAACCCCCCAGCCTCGGCGGGCTGGGCTGCTGGAAGGGCCACCCGGGCGCGCCGACGACGCGGGCACGCGAGGCTCTCGGGAGCCTTGAGACGGGGGTCAATGCAAACGGGGGGTTGTTGTTCTCCCTCGCTCCCTCTCTCTCTCTCTCGATTTCACACTTGTTGTTGTTCTCCCTCTCTCTCTCTCTTCCTCTCTCTTCTCGCTCTTTGATCCCCCTCACCCTCCCTCCTCTCCTCCCCCCCTGGCAGGCGCGCCCCAGAGCCCTGGCGCCGGCGAGGGTTCGGGAGCCTTGAGACGGGGGTCAGTGCAAACGGGGGTCAGCCAGAGCGCCCGGTGTTGCAGGATCCTGCACGGCCAGGGTCGCATTGGCCCGGGTCTGCGTGCAGGATCCCGCAGGATCCTGCGCATTGACCCGGGCTTGGGTGCAGGATCTCGCAGGAGGTTGCAGGATTCTGCAAGGGCTGACTGACCCGGGTCTGGATTGACCCGGATCAGAAGATCCCTGAGGCTCGCGCTTGCCTGCAGCTCGCTTTAAGTTGGGCCTGTCCCCCTACAGGGGGATTTTCGACGAAGACTAGGAAATACCCAAAAGATAATCAAGAAATCGTCCGAAAATAGTCTGGGGACTATTTTTTGAATATTTTCTGACCTTCTTTGGGCATTTTTGGAGTATTTTTCAGTTTTCGTCGACAATCCCCCTGTCAGGGGACACGCCCGACAGAAAGCTCGCTGTGTCGTGTTCGCTCGAGCCACTCGCAGCTGGGAAAGGTGGGACAGTGTGGCTTGGGATTTCCTACGATGTTGCTTCCCAGCATCACCGTTGAGCAGCATCTTACCAGCCTGGAACATATCCCTATCCCCATGCTGGGCACCTCCTTATCACGATGCCAATCTTAGGGATTCCCTTATTTTTTGAGGGCGCATCCCTAAGATTGTCATCGTATTTTGGCGTACCAATCTTAGGGATAGGGATACGTTCGAGGCTGGTAAGCATCGCCACTGGCTTGGCCTTGGAGGACGGCCAGGAGCCGGCGCCGCCCGCGCCGGGTGCCCCGGCCGCCGCGGGCGGGGCGGCCTGCGGGGGCGCGAACCATAAGGGCCGGCTCAACGAGCTGGCGATGGGCGCGCTGGGGCGGTCGCCGGCGGGCAGCGAGGTTAGGGGGCCACATGCGAACCCTACCTCTACCCCCCACGACTTCTGAGGGGGAGGGTGGGGTTCACTTCGCTCGAGAGCTCCCGAACGAAGTGAACCCCGCCCTCCCCCTCAGAAATCGTGGGGGGTAGGGGTAGGGTTCGCATGTGGTCTCCTAGAGGTGGAGTACGTCACCGCTCCCGCGGTGCCCTTCGTCTGCACGGTGACCCTGAGGTTCTGTATTCAAGGGCGGCAGAGAGGGGGGTGACGACCAGAGGGGGGTGGACATCATGGCGGGGGCCACGATAGTTCCCCAGACTTCGCAGCGCCTCTTCTTATTTCATTACGTCCCTGGCCCCCCCGCTGGGCCGCGCACATGCCGCCGGTCATGATTTGCACCCCCCCCTCTTGGACACCCCCCTCTTGGCCGCTCCCGATGTTTACCTCTTAGATGGGGTCGGAGCAGATGGGGTCGGAGGATCGCGCCGCATCGCCGATGCATCGACGATGCGGCTCGATGCGGACCCCGACTTGCTTCACGTCGACGTCGCCGATGCATCGCCGTTGCATCGCCGATGCATCCCTGGCGCATCGCCGACACATCGCCGATACATCGGCGATGCGGCGCGATCCTTCGACACTATCTGCTCGGACCCCATATAGGAGGCCCTAGAGGTTTCTGCTTGGGGCCCCGTCCTTCACCGGGGAGGCGCCGGCGTTCGTCAACGCGGTGGGGTTTGGGCGGGGGAAGTGAGGAGGTCACGAAGGCAACCATCGGGTCTGGAGGATGGGGTTAGGAGAAATGGGGCGATCATGGACTGCCCGAAGGCGGCCGAAGGTGTCGTTCCTTGCATCCGGGTGCAGTTGCTCATGCCCTTCTCAAGTCGGGCGTGTCCCCCTACAGGGGGATTTTGGGGGAAAAACTACAAATACTCCAAGAAATCCCCCCCCCGTAATGTTCCAAAAGATGTCCAAACATCGTCCCCTGGACCATGTCCTGACTGTTTCTGAAGCTTCCCCCTGTGGAGGGGGACAGGCCCGACCTCGCCCCAGCCCCTCCCCGCACGAGCACGGTGCCCCCCGCGAGGCCGCGCCCCTCTGCCCTCTGCCGCCCACCCCCCGCGGGGCCCGCGCCCGCAGCTCCCGCGCGGGCCCCCTCCCGCCGGGGAGCACCGCCGTCGGGGAGAGCGCCGCCCCTGCCCGCCATGGGGGAGGGGCGGGGCTCCGGCGGTGCTCCCCGGGGAGGGGCGGTGCGCCTCGGGCGCGCCCGGGGAGGCTCGCGAGGAGCTGCGCCATGTCGGGCCGAAGGAAAGGGGGGGGAGAGGGGGGGAGGAGGGAGGAGGAGGAGGAGGAGGAGGAGGGAGGAGGGAGGAGGGAGGAGGGAGAGGGAGGAAGGAAAGGGGAGGAGGAGGAGGAGGAGGAGGAGGAGAGGAGGAGGAGGAGGAGGAGGAGAGCCCCCGGGCGGGCAGCCAGTTGGTGTGGGCGGCACCTCCCGGCGTCCGGGGGAACTGAAACCCGCTTAGTCGTGGCCTGTATGGGGGCTGCGCCACTGCCGAAACCACCCACCCACCCACGGCATTGCCGTGGGTGGGTGGGTGGTTTCGGCAGTGGGGGCACCGACCCCGGTCTTCGGACCTAAACGGTAATCCCGATTCGGCTGCGGCCGAATCGGGTCCCCTCCACTGTCTTGGCCCGGCGACTCCCCGGTCGCGCCAGGGTGTGGAGGGGGGGTCTGGCTTCGGCCAGGCTCGTGGGGAGTCCTGCTCTGTCCCCCTTGGGCAAGGGGACTGGGGGGAGCAGGCCTGGCTACCCATGCGCGGTAACACGCGCCGTGTGCCCCGCACGGTGACGTGGGGTAGCCTGTGTCCCCTGGTGCAGGAAGAACCAGGGAGGCATGGGGGCCGCCCGCCTGCGGCGGGTTCGTGGAGCTCCTGATGCTCCGCGTGGTGAGCCGGGCGCCTCTTCTTTTTCGCTTCTTTTCTCTTCTTCCCCCCTTCCCCCCCCCTCGGGCCCCCTCGGCTGCGGCCGCCTGCTCCGGGCGGTCGCGGGGTGGGCAATGCCCCACTCTCGCGCGGTGTCAGGATGTCACCGCGCTGTGGCAGCGGCCCAGCGTTGGGGCGGAGACATCGTGCCCGCCTCCTATGCAGTGCCCAGGGGGAGGAGGAGGAGGAGGAGGAGGAGGAGGA